AAAAAAATCATTTTTTGTGCTAGATGGAATTTGTTAACTGACAGAATGTAACAATGAGAAATGAATACAAATATTGTCATTTGGACGACATGCCGGACTATTGCAATGGCTTCATGTTTGTTTGCTCTTACTGTTTTCAATCAGTGTAGTTTTTATTTGTGCGATCAATTTATCATCAGTTGGCAATATTATTTTTATTATTGGTAGTTTTTGGTTCCTGTTTTGATATGATTGCTTTCAAATTAATTTCAGTCCGACGTCAATTAGGCGATGATCCAGTGTAGCGATGGTTAACGATGATAATTTTTTTCTTGACCTCGATATATATATGGAAGTTTTGGCTTTGTTCCAATGGCTGCAAAGCGTCCAAATGTTTGCGCACTATCTCATTTGAAGCCTCAGATCTTTCAAATTCCATAAAAATTGTAATTACTGATTTTTTCTCGAATCTTGTGGCTGTTTTGTTTCCAGCTTGCTTTGCTAATGCAGGTCTGATCAAAACTTATCTCTAAGAATGATGAATGAATACAAATATTATCATTTGGATGAGATCTCGTCCTATTGTAATTGATTCATGGTTCTGTGTTCTTCCTGCTTTTTTCAATGTAGAGTCAGTGCCGATTTTTTAACACGATTGTTGATGAAATTTGTTGGCGTTTCATAGCATAGATGAATGCTTGAAAAGTTCAAGTTGTGCGATTTATTTATTGTGAGTTGTTTTTATTATTTTTGTCAGTGGTTTTTTTTCGGTTCGTGTTTTGACTTGATTGCTTTTGAGTCCGATAACAATTAAGTGATGATCCAGTGTAGCACTGATTAATGATTAAAATTTCTTCCTGACTTTGGTTATATGGAATCTTTGGCTTCTTTCAAATGGCGGTAAAGCGTCCAGATGTTTTAGCAGTAAGCCATTTGAAGCTTCAGAGCTTTCAAAACCCATAAAAATTGTAAACATTGATTTTTTTCTCAAATCTTGCTGTGGTTCTTTTGTTTCTAGCTTGCTTCTTTGCTATTGTGGGTTTGATCAAAAGATATCTCATTTTTTGTTACAGATAGCATTTGCTGGTTGACAAAATGTATCAATGATGAATGATTACAAATATTATCACTTGATTGACATGCCGCCCTTTTGTAATTAATTCATGTTTCTGTGTTCTTCTGCTTTTAGTCAGTGTAGAGTCTGGTGATATTTTGACACTGTTTTTGATACAGTTTTTCTGTTTTATACCATAGTTGGATGCTTCAAGTTTTTAGTTTGAATTGCACGATTTATTAATTGTCAGTTGTTGATATTAATATTATCAGTCAGTGGTCTTTTTTGTTCCTGTTTTGATTTGCTTGTTTTCAAATTATTTTTAGGCAGCAACAGCATGGTTTGATGATCCAGTGCAGCACTGATTAATGATTACTTCTTCTTCCTGATTTTGGTTATATGGAAATGTCGGCTCTGTTTTATGGCTGCTAAGTGTCCAATTGTTTGTCCACTACGCCAGTTGAAGCTTCAGTGGTATCAAAACCCAGAAAAATTATTTTAAAAATGGTTTGTTTTTTTTTCTTAAACTTTGTGGCTTTTGTTTTTAGCTTGCTTCTGGTTCATGTTTTGATTTGCTTGCTTTCATTTTAATTTGAGTCTTCGACAATTATGTGATGATCCAGTGTAGCACTGATGAATGATTATATATTTTTTCTGATTTCGTTTATATGGAAGCTTCGGCTTTGTTTTCATAGCTGCAATTGTCAAGATGCTTGCGCACTAACCCATTTGAAGCTTCAGAGTTTTCAAAACACACAAAAATTGTAAACAGTGATTTGTTCTTCCTTAAATCTTGTTGTGGTTCTTTTGTTTCCAGCTTGTTTCTTTGCTAATGCGGGTTTGATAAAAATTTGTCTCATTTTTGTTACTGATGGATTTTGTTGATTGACAAAATCTAAGAATAATGAATGAATACAAACATTTTTCTTTCGATGACATATTGCCCTACTTTATGGGCTTCATGTTTGTTTGTTCATACTGTTTTAAATCAGTGTAAACCTACTTTATGTGGCTTATTTTTAATCAGTTATTATTTTTATCAGTTGGTATTTTTCGGCTCGTGTTTTGACTTGATTGCTTTTGAGTCCGATAACAATTAGATGATGATCCAGTGTAGCACTGATTTATGATTAAGTTTTTGTCTGATTTTGATTATATGGAAGTTTCGGCATGTTTCCAATAGCTGCATTGTGTCCAGTTTTCAAAACGCATGGAAGTTGTAATCATTGATTTGTTTTTTTTTGAAATTCCGGTTGTGACTTTTTTTTTGTATCTAGCTTGTTTCTTTTCGAATGCGGGCCTGATGAACTGTTTTTTTTTTCGTTTTTTTTTGTCACAGATGGAATTTGCTGATTGACATAATAAAATTATGAGGGATGAATACAAGTTTTGTCATTTGGATGACATGCTGCTCTTTTGTAATGGCTTCATGTTAGTGTTTCCTTCCTGCTTTTATTAATGTGGATTCGAGGATTTTCATCCGTGGACTTTTTCGTTTCCTGTTTTGATTTGCTTGTCTTCAAACTAATTTGAATCCGCAACAGTTTCGTGATGATCCAATGTAGTACTGATTAATGATTACATTTTTGTCTGATTTTGATTATTTGGAAGCTTCGGCTTGGTTTCAATAGCTGCAAAATGTCCAGATGCTTAAGCACTCAGCCATCTGAAGCTTCTTTTAATCTGAAAATTTTAAACAAGGTTTTGTTTTAAGTTCCAGTTATGCCTTCGTTTTGTCTACTTGCTTTTTTCTTCTGCGGTGCTGATGAAAAAAAAATCATTTTTTGTGCTAGATGGAATTTGTTGACTGACAGAATGTAACAATGAGAAATTAATACAAATATTGTCATTTGGACGACATGCCGGACTATTGCAATGGCTTCATGTTCGTTTGCTCTTACTGTTTTCAATCAGTGTAGTTTTTATTTGTGCGATCAATTTATCATCAGTTGGCAATATTATTTTTATTAGTGGTAGTTTTTGGTTCCTGTTTTGATATGATTGCTTTCAAATTAATTTCAGTCCGACGTCAATTAGGCGATGATCCAGTGTAGCGATGGTTAACGATGATAATTTTTTTCTTGACCTCGATATATATGGAAGTTTTGGCTTTGTTCCAATGGCTGCAAAGCGTCCAAATGTTTGCGCACTATCTCATTTGAAGCCTCAGATCTTTCAAATTCCATAAAAATTGTAATTATTGATTTTTTCTCGAATCTTGTGGCTGTTTTGTTTCCAGCTTGCTTTGCTAATGCAGGTCTGATCAAAACTTATCTCTAAGAATGATGATTGAATACAAATATTATCATTTGGATGAGATCTCGTCCTATTGTAATTGATTCATGGTTCTGTGTTCTTCCTGCTTTTTTCAATGTAGAGTCAGTGCCGATTTTTTAACACGGTTGTTGATGAAATTTGTTGGCGTTTCAAAGCATAGATGAATGCTTGAAAAGTTCAAGTTGTGCGATTTATTTATTGTGAGTTGTTTTTATTATTTTTGTCAGTGGTAATTTTTGTTCCTGGTTTGATTTGCTTGCTTTCAAATTCATTTCAGTCCGACGTCAATTATGCGATGATCCAGTGTAGCGTTGATTAATGATGATAGCTTTTTCCTGACCTCGATTTATATGGAAGTTTCCGCCTTGTTTCAATGGCTGCAAAGCGTCCAATTGTTTGCGTATTACGCCATTTGAAGCTTTCAATTTTCCTAAACCCATAAAAATTGTTTAAAAAAAAACTTTTTTTTTTCTTAAACCTAGTTGTGACTTTTGTTTCAGCTTGCCTCTCTGCTAATGTGGTTTCGGTCAAAAGTTATGTCATTTTTTGTTACAGATGGAATTTGCTGATTGACATAATGTAACATTGAAGAATGAAAACAAATATTATCGTTTGGATGACATGTGGCCGTTTTGTAATGGCTTTATGTTTCTGTGTTCTTCCTTTATTTTTTTATTCAGTGTAGAATCAAGCCGATATGTGACGCTATTGTAATGGCTTCATGTTTCTACGTTTTTTCTGCTTTTATTCATTGTAGAGGCACATGTCATCCTAATGAGGGTCCGATCAAAAGATATCTCATTTTTTGTTACAGATGGAATTTGCTGATTGACATAATGTAACAATGATAAATGAATACGAATTTTATCATTTAATTGACTTGTGGCTCTTTTGTAATGGCATCATTTTTGTGTGTTCTTCCTGCTTTCCCTCAGTGTAGAGTCAAGCCTATGTTTTCACACTGTTTTTGATGCACTTTGTTTGTTTCATCGCATCGCATATTTGACTACTTGAAAAAGGTTAAGTTTTGCGACTTACTGATTATAAGTTTTTTTTTCAGTGATGCTTTTCTTTTCCTGTTTTGATTTGTTTGCTTTCAAACTTATTTGAATACGCATCAAATACGTGATGATCCAGTGTAGCACTGATTTTTGATTACTTTTTCTTCTGATTTTGATTATATGGAAGTTTCGGATTTGTTCCACTAGCTGCAAAGTTTCCAGATGCTTGCGCACGAAGACATTTGAAGCTTCAGAGTTTTGAAAACGCGTAAAAATTGTAAACATTGATTTGTTTTTTAAAATTCCAGTTGTGCTTTTGCTTTCCTGTCTGGCTTGCTTTTTTTATAATGCTGGCCTGATGAAATTTTTTTTGCATTTTTTGTTACAGATGGAATTTGCTGATTGACAGAATGTAACCATGAGGAATGAATACAATTTTTTTGTAGTTTTATGCAGTTTTCTCGAATTGGGTTTCACCTAGAAAATTATATTAATCAGACATGAACCAACAAAAACTTCGTAGATGAAACCCAATCTGAGAAAAAAGCATCAAAAGTGTTCTTTCATCCGCTGGGATATACAACAGTTATCTAGGAAAGTTGTTGGTTGTTTGTTGTTAATTCATAGCTTTTTAATCCTATTTCTCAATGGGATTGTTGTTTTAAGACCATTTTGCTTTTGGCTCGCAGGATTCCTCGCAAGGCAACTCCATCTTCCAGCTGGAAATGATCAAGTACATCAAAAGGAAGTACCCAGACGTGCAACTGGTCGGAGGGAATGTGGTCACTGGTGCACAGGCCAAGAGCCTCATAGATGCAGGTGTGGACGCTCTAAGAGTCGGCATGGGATCCGGCTCCATATGCATTACCCAGGTACTAGCAATTTTTCCCTACCGAAATAAGATACCTAAGCTGTAATCATGGTACTGTTCTGCTCTATCAGTCAAATTCATAGTCAGAGCATTTAATTACAAAGAGCTATTTCCATTGTGATGACGGCGAAGTTGACTATGCTTGAAGTTTGTTCATTTGAACTATTATTAGGAAGTAATGGCCTGTGGTCGAGCTCAGGCGACTGCGGTGTACAAGGTGTCACAGTACTCTAACAAGTTCGGGGGAGGAGTGCCTGTGATAGCTGACGGGGGTATCAAGAACACAGGACACATCATCAAGGCACTGGGTCTAGGCGCGTCTGCAGGTTAATTTCATGTATGATTTATGGGAAATTCAGGAAGAACTTCTGTTTTAATTCATTTCTTAAAAGATCCTTTAAGATTTCTATCTTTCTTTGTGGCTGATCGGTTGATATAATAAAGCTGTTGTAGTTATTGGACAGCTCTTATCGTGCTATGGGATAGCTCTGCATTGTGTTTCCACTGGCATTAGGCACATGGTTGTTTTCAGTGATGATGGGCTCAGTGCTAGCTGGATCGACCGAGGCCCCTGGAGAATACTTCTTTGCGGATGGAAACCGCCTGAAGAAGTTCCGAGGCATGGGCTCCCTGGATGCAATGGACCAGGGCAAAGCAGCCCAGCAGCGATATTTTTCGTGAGTTAATATTCAAGGGCTTAATTTCTACCAAATAATGGAATTTTTCGCTCTATTTTGAGCTTTGCGAAGATTGGGTTGCAGTTTGATTGTCACTTATTTAGGTCGTCCTCTTTGTTTTTCAGGAAGAAGTCATAAAAAATGGTTTAAGCTCAAATAGATTTTTCGCAGTTTGACTTTTGATTTCTTTTCAAGCTCAGTTCTTTTCAATTGTTTATAGGTAGTTTCAATTTTATAGGTAGTATCAATTGCTTGCAATATTGTTGACTTTAATTATCTTGAAATTAATTTAAATTAAATTGATTTTCGACGTCAAAGCGGTTTTAGGTATATAATTAATTCGTTCAAATTGGTTAACCTAAAAGGGTATTGGATCAAATATATTTCAGCTGATGAATTGGCTTTCGGCTGTCTAAACATTAATTATTGACTGCTGTAAGCTAGCGGCTACTATAGTGCTTCTTGCTACATCCTCGCCCTGTTATCCATCTTTTTATTTTGCCTTCTCGTTTCAAGTGACTTCGGGTATGTATTTACCTAAATTGTTTGCTATGTTGAATGCGGTTACGTAGCAAAAGCAAGACAAGTCATAAAGTAGACAAATACTATATTAATCAATCAGAATCGAGAACAGAAAGCAAACTTAAGAAATAAATAATTATTCATTTCCAAGGTTGCTATCTGATCTTTTTTCTGCTGATTAATATCGTCTTTGTCTACTTTTTGACGAGTATGAAATATAGGTTGTCCATTTTTGACCGCACTCCGTGGAATGCATAGTCGTGGAAACCGCATCGCTGTTACAAAATGTCCTTTGTAGATTGATTTCTTAAGAGAATGAAATATGAATGAGTGTTTAGTGCACATGGATTGAGCTTTGGTAATGCGATGTCACTTGGATTTTCTGTTTTTGATGAAAACTTGAAGTTTGCTCGCGCTCATGTTTTAGCAGCGTCCAAAGAATGCGACGCCAATTTAAACCGATGAGCTATCTCTGATGACGTTTTTTTCTAATGGTTTCTAGGCGCGAACGGATACTAAATCCAAAGGTAGTTGATTACTGCGCAAATATCACTGAGCGTTCCGACCAAATGCTATTATTGCCAAAAAAAAAAGAAAAAAAAACAATCATTTACTGGAATTTCCCTACAATTTTTTAAGTTTCTTCTAGTAAAATTATCATCCAGATGAAAGTAGACAGGAGCGGTTTTATTGGTTGAGGGGGATTCGACCCCCTGTCGACCCAAAGGGTAACCCCTGTGTACTATTTTGAGATATCAATTTTTGGCTGACGGACTCTAAAATTTTTCTAAAGGTGCCTTCGACGCCAATACATACTAATTTTTAGGGGGGAGCAGGGGGATACATACTCATGTTGATTTTATCCGCCCTTTGCTAAGTTGAAGCCTGAAAGGTCGATATGTGCTGACCAGTTTTTCTCGACATAAACACAATTTAATTGATTTTTATTGCAATCAGAATAACGACAAAGTACTTTAATATGGTGATCATTCTTTGATATACCTGATTTATGCATGGAAGAAACGCCTTGTACCATAGTTTCTTCCTATCCCTCTAAACGGGAGATAGAATAAAAGAAATTAGGAGATTTGCAATTTTTCCTTTATTATGAGGTCTTCCTTAGGGAGCGGTGGTTTTCCGAACCGAACCCACTGAATAATGACCGAGCCGATATTAAAAATTCCTGAACCGCCTACCCCAGTTTTTCAAGAGAAATATCTACTCAGCGATATTCTTGAGATATTTTTGGGTTCCATATTTTTTTGGTTCAAAGAAGCTAATTTGGACCAGAGCAGTGGTGGCTCTAGGATTTTTCGAGGGGAGGCGTTTTCAAAATTTTTCAAATTAATATGACTTTTTTTAGATCGACCTAATTGGTTTTCCGAGCTCTCATAAAAAATTAAAACTCTATTTTGACAAAATTTGCTTCACCGCAGTCAATGTTTTAAAAACAGGCCAAACAAGCTGTTTTTGGAATGTTTTAATAAAAAATTGCGTTGTTTCGGCGCGCGCTCACCTTCAAAATTGCTATACATTGGCGCCTTCCGCAGAAATCTTTCAGGGTCGGTTGGCCGAGAATGGATGTCGTTAAATGGGAGGACCCTTTAGGTGGTGATGGGGTTGAATCCCCGTGGAAAGGGGGGACCAGCCCCGCGCGTAAGTCCGCGCTTGGGTCAGCTACTAAAATTTTTATACGAGTGGAACGAAAATAGGTGATAGCTGCTCTGAAAAAAAATTGATTAGATCGCTAAGTTGTGTAGGTTATTGTTTAATTTTTCAAGTGCTCTATTTCTTTGAGGAGCTAGTATCTCAGTATCAAATGTATCCAAATATTGTATATGAAATGAATGCGCAACCAGGAGTATTTCAGTTCCTCTGACGATGAAGGGTGAGATTTAAATTAACCCTGTTCACCTCAGTTAAGCGAACCCAAACAAAGTAAACCACTCCTAGCCATTCCATTCAAGGTTGCTCCAATCAAGTTCCTCGTCTTCACATTTCTCGTTTTTGTTTTGTAAACAACAATGGTTATTCAATGCTGCAGCAGACAGGGGCGGATCTAGGATGTTCTCGAGAGGGGGCAGATTTTCAAAAGTTTTTCGATAGATCGACCTTTTTTTTTAGATCGACCAAATCGGTTTTCCGCGCACTCTCCCAGAACACTATAAAGACCCTATTTTGACCAAAAATTTGTGCGCCACAGGCAAATATTTTACAACAGGTCAAGAAAACCGTTTTTAGGCACTTTTTGGAAAACTTTGACAAAAAAATGCTTGTTTTTTCGTCTCGCGCTCCCCCTGCAAATTTTGTTTAAATTGGCGTCAAAGACGCCTTTAGAAAAAGTTTTTTAGGGCTGGTCGGCCTAAAATGAATGTCATAAAATAATACCAACGGGAGGACCCTTTGGTTAGTGAGGGGGTCGAATCCCTGCGAGGGGGCGTCCACCCCCCTTCCCAAATCCGTCCTTGACTGCAGTCTAAGTCACTTCTTGAATCTTTTATTTTGAAAATTGTTATAGCATTAAGTAGGTCACAGTATTTTTGTACGAATAAAATAGGTTTACTTCAGGAAGTATAGATGTCATCGGCGAATAACATTCAGCTAGATATAACGTCTCTATTCATTGATTTCCACGTTCTCAATATTTGATTTACAGAAAAAATTGGAAAAGTTTTGAAGCAGTGATTCGAATAAGTCTTATCAGTAAACCATGTATCAGTTGTTTGCAAAGGTCGTTACATTAGAATTTTGCCCTATCTGATATTCTGAATTTTACCTTGAGACGATTAGATGTACTTAACCAAGAAATTAACCTTGTAGATAACTTCCTTGCGCTTTTGTCATGTTACAATCAGATCCTCAATATCTTACAGCATAGATTATAAACGTCAAAAATAGGATATTTATACCATTTGTGGTTACAAAGAGTCGATGAGCGTAGTTCAGAATTTTATATAGGTCGTGATGATTTTTTGTTTTTTTTTTTCATGCTCAAATTTACGTTTTTGCGGTTTGACTTTTGATTTATTAAGTTCAGTTCAGTTTCTTCGGTAAATGGAAAGCAAACTCCATTATCGATGAGCGAAAGTGTAAAGGTCACGAAAACCGTGATCGACTCCTAGTTTCGAAAGTGAAATTCAATTTAAAGATTTCCCAGCGAAAGAAAAAGTTCATTTATTGATTCAATTTGGGTTAAATTTTTCATTAAAATGTCAATCATAAATTGTTCTAAAAATTCGAAGAGCTTGAAGGACATCTTCTTTTTTTTGAAATTCGAAAGTTGAGATTTTTTCAAAAAAGCAAGTCAATATTTTTCTGTCTACTTGCGTTCATGGACTCTTTTCCAAACTTTCTGTTGGCTATGTTGTTTATGGCTTCTTTAATATTGAAAGTTTTCTCATTTGGAGATAGAAGTCGTTGATTTGGTTAATTGATGACAAGTGAAAAGAAATAATGACAAGTTAATTACGAGTTGTCTCAAAACCGTGAGTATTATAGCTAAATATGGTGCTAACTAGCTAATTCGTTTTTAGCAATTATTTGCGATTTGCATTTTATTGTATAATATTGGGGTAAAATAATGCGATGAGAGAGAAGGAAAGAAAGATATAATTTTTATACTATCGATTGTTTCTCTTCTAGGGACCAAGATAGAGTGAAAGTGGCCCAGGGAGTGTCTGGCAACATCGTGGACAAGGGATCCGTGCACAGGATAGTGCCCTACCTAGTGACTAGTGTGCAACATGGCCTGCAGGACATAGGAGTGAGGAGTGTCAATCAGCTGAGGAGTGACGTCACTCAGGGCAAAGTGTTCTTCGAGAAGAGATCGCCGGCCAGTCAGAGGGAGGGAGATGTACATGGACTGCACTCGTGAGTAGAGAAGAACACGAGCATTCGCTGCTAAGAACTATCGTTTTTAAATCTTACTTGGTAACAATTTCTAAAAGGTTTTTTTTTATAAAACACAAGTTTTTTGTCGATATATTTCAAAAGACTCTTAAGAAAAGTTCAGAATGAAGGCTGTCTCGAGTCTATAACTGGCCTCCGTTGTCTCAGTAAAGTTTTAGTAAAGTTCTAGCTGAAGTAAAGTTCTAGTAAAAAAGAATATTTGAAGACTGTTTATCCTTTAAAAATTCTTTGATAGACTATGAAATTCACTTTTCTCGTCGTTGGGAGGGGAGACGCTAAGAATCAAATTTCAGCTTTGGTATAATATGATGTCTTTGATGTTTGGATATTATAACTTTTTCAATGCACCTATTTTTGAAGATTAACATGTTATCTTCTCATTTCAGGTACGAGAAACGACTATTCTAGAATATAAGTCTGCTTGCGAACGACATGATAGTTAGTGCTGCATGGAAAAGATTCTAGACAATGGTATATCTTTGACCACCTCCCCATAGTTAGAGTGGGAAAAACTCAGTCAGTTAGGCAATCAAACACGCAGTGATTTACATCCCTATTATGCTCTAAGCACACTGTGAAATTTTGCCCAAAAACAGTCACTATCCTATTATTCTAAGTTTGTTCTGCATCTGAATTCTCCTTCAATTGAATTGAAGATAGTTTAAATGTTACCGAACATCAACATGAAGAGAAATAAAGAAATCTGAACCAGAAACATATCAAAAAGTTAACCAGGAAAAACTTCAAACTGGTTCAACTTTAAACAGATATACAGGGAGGGGAGGGGGCTATTCTCATGACAAGTGATCTGCAAAATAAATGCGAAATCTTTCAACCAATCAACATCCTTTAAACTCCTTTAAGCTGACAGATTTTCACGGTGTTTCCTTCGAATTTATGAATACTTAACTATGATTGGATAACTTTTTTTTTGGCAGTCGGTCCTTTGGCCCTCGATTAACTTGTCGATTTTTGGCTAATCTAATTTTTGCGTCATACTATTTGTTTTTTGAAGTTCAGTAACATTTTCAACTTCAGTTGTGGCGATATGTTCTGATTCTATTGCAGTATTCGATTTGCTAACTCGCTGGAGGTTAACTAATTGTTCCTAAATATTGTCCCTATTTGTATATTGAGTGCAATGAGGAATTATATTTTTGTTTATTGAGTTTTATTTAATAAATGAGTAATTTTTTCGAGCTGGTTGGGCATAGAAATATTCAATGCTGGCACTTTGTTTATTCAAGTAGTCAGGGGAAATAAACTAGATAGCAGAGTTCAATGTGTTCTTTGCGTGCCAGATCTCTAGAAAAATCAGTATGGTTAACCTTGAAGAAAGCATTAAAACTTGTGGATATGTTCTGAAATTCCGTCCCTTCTCGCGAAGTCCGCCCATCTTTTGCTTATAAAACCTGGTTTTTTTTTCACTTGCGGTTTTTTTCACCAATTTTTAACCGGATTTTATGGACTTAGTGATATGCCAAATGAATTTCAAAGGTTCGCGGAATCACTTATAAAAGACGACACATTAATTGCTTCAAAAGGAACCTTGGAAGAACTTGAGTCAATCTTTAATCAAGTTCTTTTGATCCTTGGTTCGATCGACCAATACGTTAAGTTTGTACCAAACCTGTCAGCCCTTAGTTCCTCACTCCGTCCACTTGAACGAAAAAACTTTGTACCATTGGGATAGTAATCACAAGCTTGCATTAAAAAATTTAATTCTGGAATTTTAATTTCCACGAAGAATAGCCATTTCGAATTAAAATCAATAACCAGACTGAATATAAACGCTTCATATCACGGATTGGGAGCTAAGCTTAAACAATTCCAAGGAGCGAGTTGAAAACAACTTTTTAACTGGTCACGAAATGAAATACTACACCAAAGAATTGGAACTGTTGGGAGTAGCATGGGCCTCAGAACACTTCAAAAATTACCTTAATGGCTCAGAATTGGAATTTGTTACATATCAAAAAGAGTTAGTTTTGGTAACTCTTTCTTCGATCTACGGCAAAAAAACGAAGCGTAGAAGATTAACCGGTTGGGTAAACAGGCTTTCACTATTCAATTTAAAAATTTCCCAAATACCAGTAAGACATAGTTTTGAAGCAGTCATTCGAGGAAGTTTTTTCTCAGTCAACCAGGTTTCAGTTGTTTGCAAGGGTCGTTGCGTTAGATTTTTGCCCTGTCTGATATTCTGAATTTTACCTTGAGACGATTAGATGTACTTACCAAGAAATTAACCTTGTAGATAACTTCCTAGTGCTTTTGTCCTGTTACAATCAGATCCTCAATATCTTACAGCATAGATTACAAACGTAAAAAATAGGATATTTATACCATTTGTATTTATAAAGAGTCGATGAGCGTAGTTAAGAATCTTTTATGTCGTGATGATTTTTTCAGGAGAAGTCTCAAATTTAGTTCAGGCTCAAACGTACGTTTTTGCGGTTTCACCTCAGATTTCTTTTAAAGTTCAGTTCAGATCCTTTGTTAAAAGGAAAGCAAATTTCATTATCGATCAGCGAAAGTGTTGAGGTCTCGAAAAACGTGATAGACTTTTAGTTTCGAAATTGGAATTTATTTTTCAGATTTCCCAGCGAAATGAAAATTTTATTTTGTTCAATTTTCTCAAGTTGGGTTAATTTAATTAAGTGTCAAGTTGAGATTTTTTCAAAAAATAATTCAATCTTTTTTCTGTTTACTCGCGTTCATTGACTCTTTTCCAAAGCTTCTGTTGGCTATGTTTTATATGACTTTTCTAATACTGAAAGTTTTCTCATTTGGGGATAGAAGTAGTTAATTTGGCTAATTGATGACAAGTGAAAAAAAATAATGACAACTTAATTACGATTTGTCTCAAAACCGTGAGTAATATCGCTAAATATGGTGCTAACTTAGCTATATTAGGTTAAAAGCTGGAATTGTTTTCAAAATCTATTGTATTTCACCCGGAGGAACATAATATCGCTCATAAATTTAAAGATTTTCTATCTACCGAACAATCCACTTTTTTAACATTTTACAAGGCAGATTAATCACTACCAGCTTCAACCCTAATCCCTGAAAACTATTGCTCTAGAAAATCACTCCAAATTATGACTAAAGATGATAAATATTTTGGGACTTAATTTCGAAGCTCAGAAGCGGTCGACCGATGGGAGTTCATGGATCCTACATGATGCAAAGAGGAGCTTTACATCATGGAAGAACGACTATTTATGGACAAGAAGTAAAACGTAACGGCAGCCATTCGGGGATCATTCAGTTCGATGCTCCATGAGACGCATCTCGGCCAGCTTGGGATGAAATTCCTGACAGAAACTGGCGACTCCTCGTTTTCGAGAGATTTATTATCACGGCAAATCTTGTAATCATTGCTCAAAAGCCGGTAAAAACCACTCAAAGTACTGTTAGGAGTCGATCACTCGACTACTTCTCCGAATTTATCTTTCGCTTATGCAGAATTGAGTTTAGGTTTCGCCGGACTTTTGGACGCTTTTTGGTGGACGAAAAATCACGTCCTCTAATGTATCGACCGCTTTACAAAATTTGCTTCGCCAAAGTGATCAACAATACAACTTTCTTTTGAGTTATTTCATTTTTAAACGATTTTTGCCCATTTTCATGGATTTCCTTGAAAAATTAGAGTCGACTATGAGTCATGATTTTTTTTCTCACAGTTTTGATCATTCGGTGAAAAATTCAGCAAAATAGGACTTGTAGAAAAACTTGTGTATACTGTTAATTCTAAATTATTGCCCATGTCGTAGGAATTGTTAAACCAACACTTATTTCTTCATTCAAAAATATTTGCAATTTGAGGATAAGGATACAGTCATCCATTGGGTGCAATTGCTTCGACAAACATTTTAACTAGAGCGCTAACACGAAATGGAAAGACCTGATTACTTTGATAACCGTTTGAATCAAAGAAAATCATTTCTATCTGACCAAAAGGCCCAAAACGGGGAGCTTTAAGACGGGGCAGAGGATGGCTATTTAGACGCGGATATTGAATCTGCAACGTATACGGAAGAAAATCTCCCGTTAGTAACAACCACCTCAGAAAAACGCACTCCCTCTCAACTGAAGACCCTCCCTCATCGCAAGTCTCTAAAAAAGATCGCCTCAGGACCAAACTGGAAACATGGGGAAATTTTAACATAATCAAAGAATAGATGATCAGCTGATTCGATTATGCGGTGATCCTCGACAACGGCCACATTTTATGGAAATCAGACTTTTCAAGGCAAAATTCCTCCAGGTCCTTCAAACGTTTTAATAAAAGAGGAACCGCTTGGTCAAAATCCTATCGTTTTGACTAGTTTAGTTGAGAAAAAAAACAAGTTGTCACACGCGAAGAAGGATTCAGGCGTCTTATCACAACGGATGCCTCCCTGCTCCAGCAGATAAGTTACAACACCAATGACTGTTCAGTTCCCAACCGAAACAGCGGTCTTTCCCAAAAAGCCTTTAGGCACCTCAAGTTCATCCGCTTCATTAGATCTTGATTCCTGGGATGGGTTAATCAACGAATATTTCGACGATGTATCGAAAAATAACGCCACCGTTTGATCGTTCATAACTCGGTCATAAGCTTTGGGCTTATGACCGAGTTATGAACGATCAAACGGTGGCGTTATCCTAATCTTGGTTCGAAAATTGCGGGCGCTGACAGAATCACTCAGAGTGACTATAGCTGTTCTAGTCTAGAGGAACAAATATCCACCCGATCCAAATGGATAGCTCAATTGAGGATCCAACTTCGGTCACTATCCAAGCAAGTCCTTTCTGACCCAGAAGAAGCGCGGAACCCCCAAAGTTTTTTTGCCGAATTCAGATTCGTACACAAGGTTTCCGGGAAAGAATCCGTCGACCCGACTGTGATCGTTTTGGATGACACTCAGACAGTGTTTTCACCCGCAGCGTGATTCTCTTAATGGTAATTGTCAGACTTCCTAATACCGCTGACGCAATCTCTACCGAAACCGACATTGGTAGCTGAGACAACCCCAACCTAATCCTCTACCATCACACTGTCGTTGGAACTATCCAATCATCTTCTCTCCAACCCACCATCGACACTACTCCTGACGGAACTACACCATCTCACCAGAAAACCGTTGAGCGAAAAATTGTCTGACAAACAAAGTGAGATTTCGTCCACTATTGATACAGAATTGAAAAATAGGTTACAGATTTCTATTCAAACTTCAACTAGAGCAATTCGTCAAAATTAAAGGATGTTATTAATTTCTCACCCCATTTTAGTAAAAGATTTTCTTCCTTTACTGGATTTAATTTTGTACATGCTAGGTGTAAATAATTGCAAGTTAGATTTATTTTCATTTTAGATACTTGTAAATTCTGTAATTGCACCCAATTTGTACTATGTTTTACATATCCAATTTTCAATTGTATATAATTATTTCATTCTGTTCATCCCATTTTGGTTATTGAGCAGTTTGTTTTTTTTGCATCCTAAGTTGAAGAGAGTTTAGGGTGTATATAGATTTTGTATTAATTAAATTGTAGACTTTCAAGTTTTTTCGTTGGGGAATGAGTGTTTTTTTTAAGATTAACACTTTCGACCTTCGTATTGATTAGATACCTGTCGATTATTAGCTGGATTTGACTAACGGTAGATCATTCACTCTTCGTATTAGTATTAGAACTGACATTTTGATTCAAATTATTTCTTGATTGTTTCTATCTGTACTTAAATAGAATATCTTAATGTTTTTTTCTAGCATACTATAGCAAGGGTAGCCAGTTGCTGTGCAAGTAGCACAGAATGTTCCGAGCACAATCATAGAAAAACCACATAAAATGTCTTCTCCTTCTTTAAGTAAGTGTCGTTTTTTGTTCATGGCGTGATGAGAGAATGAAACGAACCTGTCTAAAGCTAGTGCAAAGTTCATAATAGACAAATGTCTTCGAAAAAGTATAACAGTAGATACCAGAAAAAAAGCAGCATTCCTTGAGTTTTTGGTTTCCACGCAGAATCAGCTACCACGATTTTTCATCAGAATGGATCAAATTATGTATCAAATTAAGCTTTTTTAGGCGTAATTTGATCGGCATTTAAAAAGGCTGTGCAGGTTTAGGTGCTCTTATGCTTGCTTGAAATTGAGTTTTGTGTTTAAAATAAAAACAATTATC